TTTGATTAAGGACCCATTTATATTAGTTACTGGTTGAATTATTCTGGGTTGGGACTTTAGATTCCCTCCCTTCGATTGTAATGGGACAAAGGACAGGGCTCTCATCTAAATGCCCTTTCTGGGCAACTAACTATGAACTAAAGGCTCAGTAAACACATTTTAACTAAATGTAATGCAAATCCACCAAGGGCAGTACAGAATCTGTATCCTCAAGATAAAGAATCTTGCTAGCAGTCTAAGTGGGGATAGGGTTTGTGGTGCAGAGAAACTAGGACTGCTCCGAGAAGTTCGAGTGGGGAAGAGTATTAGTCAGTTTCTTTCCTGTGTGATAGACCACCCCCAAAACTCAGTGGCTTGCAACAGCATTTATTTTTCTTGCTCCTGGGTCTGGTGGATCGCTTGTAGAGTGGAGTGGGGAGGAAACTGTACATTAGGAGCCAGGGTTTGGGTTGAGATCAGATCTGTTCCACATGTTTCATTCAGGGGTGAGAGTAGGTGGAGGATGCAGCTCTCTCCTGGTGCATGCTCTCTTCTGGCAGTCACAGGAGCACAAGAGGCCTAATAACACCATGCAAGCACATTTTAGTCTCTGCTTCTGTGACATCTGCTAACATTCCATTGGCCAAAGCAAGTCACATGGCCAATCTCAACCTCAGTGTGATGAAGAAACGTACTCTGTCCATTGTAGTGCCCTGGAAGATCACATGACAGAGGGAGGGGATAAGGAATTTGGAATTATGATTTATTCTACCCCAGGAAGGGACAGGGTTCTTGGATAGTTGTGAGAGTTCAGCTGGCTGCTTGCTAGAATGTAGAGGTGCAGAGAGCTTCTTCCAGAAGAATTAGCCCTAATATGGAGCTGTGTAATATTAGTGCTGGAGTACAAGCTGACCTCTCTTTATTTCCTCTTCACTTTACTGTTCTTTCACTCCTTCCTTCCCTTGCCTGGAGATGCTGAACTGGAACTTAGTCATGATGATGCAAGCTAGGCAAGGAAAGTATTGGAGTCAGCAGTTGAAGCAGCAGCAGCAGCAACAGCAGCGGGAATGATGACATCCATTCAAAGAGCTAGCTACCTGGAGGGTGACAGCCGCGGGAACAGCAAGGCAGTGATAGTGCCAATCAGGGAATGAGACCTTGGTGTCCTGCTTTCTGTAACAAACGTGGTGTGGCAAGGATCAAATAAAATCTAGTCTATGAAAGTGCTTTGTAAACTGTTAAAAGATAGTGTATCAGGAGGTTAATTGAGAAGCTCTTTTCGTCTTAATTTTAGCTGAGGCCTCAAGACAACAGTTGACACATTTCAAAGTGAACCTCAAGGCTACATATGATTATGAAAGGATATTGTGGAAATCTGTTTTTGCATCCTTAGTTGATCTTCTACTGTCAGCCTATAAGAGATGTTGGAGAGGTCAAGAAAAGAGCTGGAGAGAGGAGGGGAGGATTGCTTGGACAGAGCTGGCATGCTTTCAGTACCTGAGAGTAAACAGAATTTTTTTTTATTAGTATATATATCATTACAAATTGTACTTATTCTTTATGCCCCTTGTCCAATCTCTCCCCATCCCTCTCCCTCCCCCACACCCCCTCTGATAACCCTAGATTTCTTCTCTCTGTCTGAAAGAGTAATGGTTACTCTGTTGATTTGTTGCCTAGATGATCTGTCCAGTGCTGAGAGAGGTGTGTTCAGGTCCCCCACTATTATCATAGAGCAGATGCTTCTTCTGTCACTCTGGAGTGGTCTTTGTGGGGAGAGACATCCTCTTCTTTTCTTTGGTCTCTGCTGGTGACTCTCCTTGTGTCAATGCACTCAAGTGGCTGGTGGGCCGTCTGCATGGTGGTTGTGGTGTCTAGCTGCTTTTGTGGCAGCCGTGGTTATTGTGGTGGCTGTTATGGGCCACCCACATGGAAGTGGTGTTTTTGGCATGCTCCTTGCCTGTTTGTAGGAGGAGGGGTTGGTCCCCAGCTTCATCTGTTTTTACATTCTAAGATGTTGTTGTGGAGCAGTTGGGTGGGAGGGGAAAAGGGGAAGGGGGAATGAAACAGGGTGGGAGGAGGAAGGAGAGGGGCATGGTTGAGGCCTATGGCACCTCCCTCATTCCTGCAGGGAAGACCAGAGGGTTTCCAGTGGTGACTTGGTCATTGCTGGGCTGAATGCAGATGTCAGGGGTGTGTGGCTAAAGCCCTCGGCCGCCCACTGCCCTGGCTTGGGAGACCAGGGGGCTTCCAGCAGTGGTTTGGTGGTCATCACTGAGTGGTTGCAGATGTTGGGAGTGTGTGGCTGAAGCTCTTGGCCCCCAACTACCCCAGCTCAGGAGCCTGGAGTGTTTCCTGTGGCAGCTTGATGGTTGTCTCTGAGCTTGTTGTGGGTGTTGGGGGGGGCATGGCTGAGGCCCTCGGCCCCCCACCTCCCTGTCTTGGGAGCCCAGGACACTTCCTGCAGTGGCTTGGTGGTCATTGCTGGGCTGGGTGTGGGTGTCAGGAGGCATGGTCGAGGCCCCCAACCCTCCCCACTCCTTGGCTTGGGGTCCCAGGGGGCTTCTGTTCCTTCTAAGTTTTATAGGTGTTCTTTGGTGAAGTGAGACCTTTACTAGTAAATATCAAACTTTGTCTTTGGTCTGTGGTTATTTCATTTTTTCATTCAGTTCTGTGTTGGATTATTCGCTGTTTCCACTACTTAACTCTGCTCTGGAACTAATTTGTTGCCCTCTGCTTACTTCTAAAATGGGGAACTTCCTGTGGGGACCATCACTTGAGCCCTGCAGTTGAGCTAAATCCCTGCTTTGCTGCTAATTCCCTGGGGAAGGATTTTTGTGCAGCTCAGGTTATAATGGTTGACTTTGTAGGAACTTCTGGGTCTCATGAGATCTGGTGCACCTGAGTTATGTGGAAACACTGATCTGGACCTGAGTCTTTTCAGCAAACTGCACCCTGTGCAATTCTATATTCCTGACCAGTCTACACAGAGTGGGCCTGTGCTGATTGGAGGGCAGATCAGCTGTCCTTGCTGTGCCCCAGTGTTCCCCTGGTGGCCTGTCTCCCTCATTGCCCACACTCCAAACACTTCCCATGGGACGGGCCATGCACTAGTCCCTTGAGATGACTCACCAGCCTCTGAGTGGCTCCTTGCTCCTATGTGGGTCCACGGGAACCCTGTTAGTAGTCTTGCTGGCCTGAGGGCCACCAAGGCCCTCTTCTCCCCTGCTGCCTCCAAGCAACTTCACAGGAAGGGCACAGCAGAGGCTTTTTCCAGCTCTTGCTCCATGTGCTCACCAGCTCTAGCCTTGAAGTGGCTGGGATTTGAAATGGTTGGAATGGTCCTTTCTTTCTCTCATGGTGCCTTCTCTCACCTTCATGCACTCTGTAAGTCTCTCCTCCTCTTCCCCTGAGCTCTAGTGGCCCCAGCTTGACTGTCATTGCTTTTTAGTAGTTGTGAATTGGTTGATTTGTGGGATAGAGTGACGCTGGGGACTGTCTATTCTGCCATCTTGACTGGAAGTCCTGAACAGAAATGTTATGGTACTCACCTGAATTTTTATCCATAGGCAGGAAAACTGCCTCAGAGAATAAATTAAATGGGATCGTAAGACACAAAAATACTGTTACATGATTATATTCCATGAGTCATACTTGCTCACCAAAACATTTACATTACAGGAATGTAAGTGATTATAGTGTAACTTAATTTATTAAGAGACATATTCATTTCTGTGGCAGAAACTGCTAGTTGTCCACTAAAATCCATTCTACTTTTGTCTTGGTAATAGTACTGTGGTTGGGCACATAATTACTTAGCTATGGACTACACTTCCCAGGCCCTTTTGCACCTAGCAGAGGTGTGTGATTAAATTCTTACCTTTGAAGTATAAATGGAAATGACACACGCCTCTTGCAGGCCTTAAAACATCATGAGTGTGTTTCTCCACACTTATTCCTCTTCCTGCAAACTGCAACATGGGTGTATTTTCAATCCAGTTTTGTCCATGTAGCTGAGGACAGTACCCTAGGACAGTGCTTTTCAGATTTTATTGTGCATAAGCATTACCTGGAGAGCTCATTAAACAGAGATTAAGAAAGGTACACAATAGGTTTGCAGTGGGCCCAAGAATTTGCATTTCTGTCAGGCTCCCAGGTGATGCTGCTGCTGGTTCATGAACCACGCTTTGAGTAGCACTGCTGTAGAGGATGGTAGAGACACAAGATGGGAAGAACCTGGGTTTCTGAATGTCTTTGTGGAGTGAAGGAAACTATCTACCCATCTTGGACTTTCTTTTTTTTTTTTTTGCTGGCTGGTACAGGGATTGAACCTCAGACCTGTTATCAGCACCACACTCTGACCAACTTTTATTTTTGGTGGCTGGCCAGTAAGAGTATCTGAACCTTTGACCTTGTTATCAGCTCCCACACTCTACCGAGACTCTTTAGTGAGAGACAAATAAATGCCTACCACCATATTTTGGAGACTCTCTTACTGCAGCATAGTCATTTACCTCAGCCCACATAATCATCCTGATATTCTGCCAATCTTTCCCCATCTCTAAATTAAATATCTCCTGCAATTTTCTTCTGTTTCATCTTAAACTCTCCTTCCTGGTGAGGGAGAATAAGGTTAGCCACCTCCACTAAATGCATTTCATAAGAGCTGGCATCATGACAGCTGGCATATTCAATTGTCCATTTTGGCCTAGACTGGATAACCCTCAAGAAGTTCTCAGGAAAGGATTTTCCTTAAGCATCTTTCCAGAGGCAATATGGGAAACGTTAGTGGTGGGCTTGGAGAGAACAGAATTTCCAGCTGTTTATATCATGCAGCAAATCTCCATCATGACCCAACCCTTAAACATGCTACTTGAGACAGGTGAACTTCGGTAATTTTTATTTTGGAGGCAGAGATAGGGAAGATTCTGAGCTTCAAGAACCTTGAGGAATTGTCCTGTCTTCTGAGCCACCTTCTCGAAGAGCCATGTTCAAAGACAGTCTCACAGCTTAAGCTGGCCAGGTATTTGGACAAATCCTTATCTTTGCAGTGTTTTACCCAGGCCACCTTAAGGATAGAGAAATAAAGCATAGATCAGAGGCTGGGGTAAGGGTCTGTAAGAGGGTCAGCTGCTGGAGTCAGTTTAGGCTGTGGGAGAGTTCTGGATGGGGAGGGCTTGCCTGTCAGCACCACGCTCAGCCAGTGAGCAACCGGCCATCCCTATATGGGATCCGAACCGGGGGCCTTGGTGTTATCAGCACTGCACTCTCCCGAGTGAGCCACGGGCCGGCCCGGGCTTGCCTGTCTGGGACCTGCATGAGTGGGTGCTGCAGTAAGGCCTGGGATGGATGTGGCACAATGGTATTCTGCCTCATTTTCACTTCAGGAGAACAGTCTCAACCCACTCCCAAAGCCCAGGGCAAACCCACCAGCACAGATGCTACTTACATCAGTAGCCCAGATTCTGTCGTGCTGCAGTAAGGCCTGGGATGGATGTGGCACAATGGTATTCTGCCTCATTTTCACTTCAGGAGAACAGTCTCAACCCACTTCCAAAGCCCAGGGCAAACCCACCAGCACAGATGCTACTTACATCAGTAGCCCAGATTCTGTCTTGATCCATCTCTGGCAGAGTGGCTGGTCTCTGCCCTTCATGTTCCCCTTACCAGGCAGACATCCCATTAGGATCTTTCACAACTCTCTTGGCACAGAGAACGTCATCATCAATGTTATCATCCATAAATTCTGAAAGGAAAAGTGGATGAGTGGGGAGGGAAAAAAATCCCTTTTTCTGTTTTTAATAATTGATCATTTTTAAGGGGAATTCCCAGAGGAAACTGAGCCCTGAAATTTGGAAATCCTTTATATCTGTAGTGCCTTTCTGGGTTTGCCTTCCATTTTTCTTGGGTTTTCTTGCCTGTGCTTAGCATCTGTTCTGAGGACTGGTCTTTACTGAAAGCATCCAGGATCTGATGGACTATGAAAAGCCTTTGTTTTCAGGAAACTACTTGGTGTCCAGAGTGATGTGTGTGGGTATGTGGAATGGTGCTGCAGTGGTGTGTGTACCAGAAACAGGAAACATGTCTAGAGGTGTGGGGACCCATGAATGAGAAGATAAAATGGTGGTTGGGAATCAGGGGACTTAATCAAGTGCCAGTGTGTTTTTCTTTACCCTTTTGGCAGGAGGATCTCTGTAGAATCCTGTTTTAGTGTGAAGACTGTTTAGGGTCATTTTATTTCCCCTTTTCAGGTTCCCAGTACAGGCTCAGTGTCAGGTGTTAGTGAGAAGTGCATTCAGTTTTGCATCTATTTTGCCTGCCCTCACTTCACCCAGCCCTTGGAGAGGTTACAGTCCTTACTGCTGCACATCACGTTGCAGGCATTTTCTGAGGAATGCTTGTTGTCTTTGCACCACATGCTGTTTAGCTGGAAGATCCCATAGTAATTACTGCCATTTCCATTTTTTTCCATTAAAGGCCTGGGTGTTGAAGTTACTCTCATACTGAGCCAAGCAGACCCCTGTGTCAGAGAGAGCAGAAGGTATGGATAGAAAAGGCAAAGTGCTTCATGATGAGAGGTCACTCAGTAAGCCCTGGGGAAGAGGAGACATAAGTTGTGCTGTACTAGTGCTACCAGAAATGAAACTCCATGTTTAACACAGATGAAAAACTATGAGATTCTCAATGTCAGAGCTCATTTATAATCATTATTTACTCCCAGCCCTAAGGAATAACTAGCCCATGGTAAGTACACAATAACAATTTATTGAATAAACACATTTGGAATGCTCAGCAATCAATCAATCATCAATCAATCACAGTCTGTTTCCCAGTCTCCCTTTCCAGCCTCATCCTTCAGCCAAATATCCACTCGCTGAGTACATTCACTTTTGCTCTATATCCCAAGGTACATGCAAGAGTAAAGGTGGGGAGGTGGTGGAGGAGAATCCTAGGAAGGAAGAAAGAAAAACCATCCTTGGGGTTGACAATAAAGACTAGGTTTGGCATGGAGAAAAATGAAGAAGGATATTCAAGAGAAATTGAAATAGTTTCATGTCTTCTCACCAGTGAGACGGATGATTGAGATCCTCAATTTTCTTGCACTTTGTCAGCACCTCACCTTCATTCTCACAATCCCCATTTAACTCTCTTGTGACACTAGTAGAACTACCCTTAAGACAAATTTAGCAGATGTGGGTTATTTTTTTGTCAGACAAAAGGTTAGGGGAGAAGGTGAGAAGCAGCACCCATTGTGCTCCAAGGACCTGGACTAAAAATGATGCAGGTGAAGGCAAAGGCGATGGCAGCAGAAAAGGAATTAGTTAGGTGTGTAGTTAGTTAGGAAATATTCCAGGCCACGGACGGGAAGGTAATTTTGAAGAGAAGCAGAAGAAAATCTATTATAGATGAGATAATCCCTGGTGGAGAGTGAGAGGAGAGCCAGTTAGGAATTACAGGGCAGACGGGCCAGAGAAAGGAGAGGAGTCAGGGCAGTGGGAGCAGCTCTGAATTAGCAGAGAACCTTGGCAGGAAAGGAAATCATGAAGTGAAAGGGGAGAGGTTTCTAGGTTGAGGAAGGGTGTGTCTTTGGGTAGAGACAGAAAGGACGGATGAGGCGTTCATACTCACAGTTTGCCAGGCTGTAACCATGGTAGCCATCTATTCCCTGGGCCTTCAGCTGGTGGGCCAGCTCACACTTGGTGAAGACCTTGGCCTCGTAAGCTGCAAAGAAACAGCTGAAGAGGGAGATGATCAGAATAGACTTCATTTCTGCAGCTAGTGGAACCCAAGACTGGAGCACCCAGGGTATTGTTACAGTCTCTTACACCCTCCAGGCACAAAGGTGTTTCTGAGTGGATGATTGCATTGGCATCTGTGTCAGGAAGAAAAACTTGGCTGCTCCAGGCTAATTCTCCAGACTAGTCCAACCAGTGTGAACTTCAGGGAAGGAGGTGAAACCAGGAATGGTACCGGGAATAAAGCCATAGGGTGGTGGTGGTGGTTGTGGTTCTGGATTTGGGTCAATGCATGGAGCGGGGAAATGTTGGAGAGAGAAAGGTGTTGGTTTATGTTGTTTTAAGCTCCCCTCCCCCCAAAAAAAGAAAGGAAAAAAGAAGATGTGTAATTTTAAAGCCTTGTACTTTTGTTGGAATGTCCCCCAAAGGAGGGGGGGATCTGTACGGGGTGTTGGTTTATGTTGTTTTAAGCTCCCCTCCCCCCAAAAAAAGAAAGGAAAAAAGAAGATATGTAATTTTAAAGCCTTGTACTTTTGTTGGAATGTCCCCCAAAGGAGGGGGGGATCTGTACGCTCTGCTGAGCTTGGCTCATTATTTGTGCTTGGCTGAAAGAATTTTACCATTCAGTATAATGGGGGGATCATGATAGGTCATTGAGTTTTAAGGGATTGAGGCACTTCTGGAATCTGTAATCACTAAAGCATAGGTTGAACAGGAGACCCCTAGAGCCTAAGTTTGTAATATCTCAGTATCTAAAAGAAGTCATCAGATCCAAACCCCCAGCTATAGTTGAATTTTCTCTAATATCTGTGAATGCTAATCATCAAATATCTTGTATTAGTCAGGGTTCTCCAGAGAAACAGAACCAATAGGTGAGATTATATATATATACTTATAAAATGAAGAGATATATTATAAAGAATTAGCTCTTGTGGTTATGGGGTCTGAGAAGTCCTGACCCAGGAGAGCTGATGGTATAATTCCAGTCTAAGTCTGAAGCCCTGAGAACCAGGAGAGCCAATGGTGAAAGTTCCAGTCAAGACAGAGTCTGAAGGCAGGAGAAGACCAATATTTCAGCTCAAAGACAGAGAGAAAGAATTCTTTCTTATTTAGCCTTTTATTCTATTCAGGCTTTCAAAAGATTGGATGAGACCCACCCACACTGGGGAGGGCAATCTGCTTTACTCAGTCTACCATTCAATGTTGATCTCATCCAGACACACCCTCACAGACAGACCCAGAATAATGTTTAACTAAATACTTGGGCACTCTGCTACCCAGTCAAGTTGACACATAAATTAACCATCACGAATCCACCCCATGTCAACTTGACATCCATATGCATCTTCTCTAATCACACTTAATCTTTAAATAATGACAATAACAAGTTAGGTGATCATAATTCCATGTAATATGATAGAACTATACTGTTTACTACCGAAAATACATGAATCCCTTCCCCAGAAGAGGAGGTTAATTCTCTGAGTGATATTTACTCTTCTCCTTGGTATCCCATAACTTAAATACTATAAAATTAACAATACTTAAATACCATAATATAAAGTCAGTAATGTTATGTTACATGAGAAGAGAGTCAGAAGGAAGAAAACAAGGGTATTTTCTTTGTAACTATAATATACACACAAATATACAACCAAATAAGGAGGAAATACCTATGACAATTAAAGTTCTTGTTTCTGTAACTGGTCACATGGTCACATTTGGAATTTATAACTATCTTCTTCTACTATCCATTCTGTATTGCCTTTGCCTTCAGCAAACACCTCAGCAGGTCAGTGTTCTTAACCTGATGGAATGACCCAAACCTTCATTCCTGAAGGGTCTGGGCCATTTGTAGTCCTGTTTGGATTTGGTTGTTGTAGTTTTCCATTGACCTTACGCACAGGGCATGGTAACACTAAGAGAAGCTCTGAGGGATCTCCTGTATTCCAGTAATACTCTTCCTTACCTCCATTATGGGGTGTAGTTCAATTTCCCCTTGGTAGTCAGGATCAGTCACCCCAGGCAGCACACCAGTGCCTTTCTTTTTTTTTTTTTTTTTAAAAGATGACCGGTAAGAGGATCTTAACTCTTGACTTAGTATTGTCAGCACCAGGCTCACCCAGTGAGCTAACCGGCCATCTCTATATAGGATCTGAACCCATGGCCTTGGTGTTATCAGCACCACACTCTCCCAAGTGAGCCACGGGCCGGCCCGAGTGCCCTTCTTTGCCTGTTGATTCAGAGGCACAAGGAACCCCAAGTGACCAGCCATCAGTCTCAACTTCTGGTTCAGTGGAATTGTCTTTTTTTTAACCTTTTGATTTTTTTTTATTACTCAAAAAACCTTCAGTTAAAAAAATTTAGCTTTCTGGCTCTGTCCTTGTGCCTTAAACACTTTCACAATGATTTTCTGCTCCACAACGAGGAAAGCATGCTTGATCCTGTCAGGGACATATTTATCACACATAGAATCACCCTGCTGACATGTTTTTTTGTTTTAGTCAACCTCATAAGAACTTTAGTTCTCATAGCACAAACCTCTGGAACTCTGCCTAGACACATGCCGCATGCAGATTTTGGTGTTTTGCCAAACTTCTTGGCATAAAGGTGAAAGATTCTTTTTTTTTTTTTTTTTATTTTTATTTTGTCGATATACAATGTATTTGATTATTATGTCCCATCACCGAAACCTCCCTCCCTCCTCCCTCTCCCCCCTCCCACCCAAGTGTGTCCCCTCCATTTGCTTGTTGTAAGAACTTAAAAAAAAATAATTGTGGTTGTTATATCTTCCTCTCCCCCCCCCATTTTTTTTGTTGTTGTTTGTTTGTTTGTTTGTTGTGTGTGTGTGAGTGTGTGTGTGTGTGTGTGTATGTATGTGTGTGAATTGATTCATTCACCTTTAGCTCCCTCCAATAAGTGAAAACATGTGGTATTTCTTTTTCTCTGCCTGACTCGTTTCACTTAATATTATTCTTTCAAGGTCCATCCATGTTGTTGCAAATGGCAGTATTTCATTCGTTTTTATAGCTGAGTAGTATTCCATTGTGTACATATACCA